TACTTACCAATGATAAAAATTAAAGAATGGATTGATCGAGAAACTAATTATCTATACTAGAGCATGACGTTATACTGTCAACATGTTGGAGGACACGACGATCAAAAGCTAAAAGGCCAGGAACTAAGATTGAAAAACACTCCGGTGATATTTTAAATATTTGAATTTACATCCAAAAGACCATGAAAGCGCGGGTTATTTTATCAGAACTGCAGTGAAAAGAATGTCAATCGATATGGAGTCCTATATATGTTCTTAAACGATAAACAATGGGGTTTCAATTTCTTATTACTTATTTATTTTATTAACATTTATGATAAAACTTATATTGTAGGAATTCCATCGAACATATTAAAAAAAAAAAAAAAACTGAACAAAGAATGATGTAGACAAAGATCGAGGGATATGTATAGAAGCTGGAAAAAAAACCTCACACATAAATCGTGTTGTGATTCGTAAAAACTTCGAGCTATTCATAAGTATTCACAATGTATGGACAAAAAAACACTTTTAAATTGTGACCCGCGGAGTATGATGTCTCGTACGTTTGCCGGCTAGCATTTCATCTTGAGAGAGATTTTAGGCTGAAATAAATATTTTAGTCCTTTTGATCCTCTAGTAGAGCATCTTTAATTCTGTCCATAATCTCCCTCTAGGCATTGTTCTTTTTTCTTTTTTTTTTTTTTTTTACATCGAACTTCGAGTGCCGCACTTCAACAATAATGCAGATAGTAAAAAGATGATAAGGTGCGGCTGATTTATGATATCAGGCGGTAATAATGAATTCCATTTTCACTAATGATGTTCTCACTTTGCAATAAAAACTGCAATTTAAGAAGTTTGGTTCTTGATGTTTACAAATATATATATATTGAGAGAGGATTATTGCATTAGTAAATGGAAACCACAGGTGGCGTAGCGGTGAGAGCTCTCACAAATTCAACTCGGATTCGATTCCCGGACTCGGTGTCATAGATTGTAAGAGTTTTATTTGGTTGACTCCTTTTTTCCTCAGGTTCTCCAGTTCGAGGGCCACACAGGATTGTTAGCCACTGGCTACCCTCGTAAAACAAGGACGATTTTAATTTCATTATGTTAGATATTCCTTTTCTTCTAGAATAAAGTGATGTGCAATCATACAATTTTGATTTTGCTTTTGTTTTGTTTTTCTTTTGAGAAAAATTTCCAAAAGTACGTCAGTATTAAACAAAAATTGTTTTACTATTCTCGACTTTCACATCCCCATAATGCCTTGCGCTTTTGGGGGTAACCAATCAAAAAACTGTCCCAAATCGAAAGGTTTCTTAATTGAATTTATACTCTACCTGCTTTTATCTGTACAATACTGATTATCAGTTTATTCCAAGTTATTTTTGCGTTTACAGATCATGAAGAGTTTTGGTGTTACCGATTCAAAAAAGTTTGAACTTTTTCATAAGACAAGCGAAAAGGTGTTCTAATGTTCGGTTTCTTTAAAAAAAATACACACAGATTGTCGAGCATACTTTCCAGTTTTATAGAGTAGCTTATTACTAAAAATAACATATTTAATAATGTATACTGAAACTTTCGTAACCTAGTTTCTTAGGAACGTAGTTTTGAAGAGTGCGAATGAAGTTCCTTACAGACTTTAGATTTTCTCTCAATGAATAGCTAATGTAACGTTTTTGACGGTATTTTTGACTGAATATTATTCAGAATGATTATTTGTTTATCCATTATTTCTTGTCAGTGCAGCAATTATGAACATTCACCGTTCTCATAATGGCTGATGAGCGCACGAAAATGAGGCCATCCATTTATCTTGCAAGGCTGTGTGCTTATTCAAATAAAGGTGAATAGCGCGAATAGACCTATCCCTAATTCGCTTGACTGGTCACGAAACAATGGTTTCAAGTCGAGGTCGAACTTGATGAATAAAAGAATCAAGTTCAGTCTCGACTTCAAACCATTGTTTCGTGGTCAGTCAAGCGAATTCGGGATAGGTCTATTCAGGTCAAAAAGAAAGGTTAATTTCCATACTTTTCTTCTATAAACGCATTCATGAGCTTTTATATCTCAGTTTTATTGTGAACTAATGACCGGGTGACCTCCTTTTGCACCTGTCAATCATTTTGAGAGTGGTGTATTCACGAGTTGTATAGCTAGTAAAATACTTCCCATGTACCAAGTCGGTCTCAGCTTCTAAGTTGTATGACTTTCGGCTGATAATGATTTAGCAATTGAGTGTATTCGGTGAAAACGAACACTTATTTTCTCATTATAACTCGTTTTTCTCAAGCATCCTTCGAGTGAATGGCACAAAACGAATAAGTATTTGAGTAGTCGATGGCAGAATAATCATCTTGATCTTTAAATTTTTTTTTTTTTTTTTGTCAGTCATCATCTTAACCTCGATGCGTTAATTATTTTCTACTTCCCAAATAGCTCGTCATAAGGAGGATAGGCTTAAAAAACATGTACTCATTGTCTCAAACGACTCGATTGATTTAGTTACGCCGTGATGAATATAACATTCGAGGATTTGCCTTAAACTTTAAACCTAAAACGAAAGCAATAAAATGGTAATCTATCAGATTGATTAAAGATCGTTTTAAGAGTTCAGTCAAAATATTTAATTGCTGGAGGCAAGCGCTTCCGTTTGAATTCGTTGTCGAGGCAATTAAAACTGATATAGTCAAAAGGAGTTAAAGCAAATAGGCTTAATGATTTGGTCTGGAAGACGTCTTCGGGTCTTAAGAATAGTAGAGGGCACTGGCCAGTTCGGGCACAATTTACCCATAGATTTTATTTTTGATTTTACATCTGTTTTTTAGGCTTGGTATCACCCGATTGAAATATTGCCTGGATATTATTAATGAGATAAAAATATTGCCTGGATATTATTAATGAGATAAAAATATTGTCTGGGTATTATTAATGAGATTAAAAAAATGTGAAACCAAATGAGAATCTAATGATTGATTTATGTTTTTAATATTAGACGATTGAGGTGTGGGTTTTTGACCACCCCACATCCTAGGTTTCCTATGCTTGTTAAAAACTAGGCATCCTATGCTAGGGTCACATCCTAGGTTCACATCCTAGGTTTCCTATGCTAGGTTAAAGAAATAATTTTGTATGAAAGTGGTTTAAAGAAATAAGTATATAGTATATTATTAGGAAATGAAAGTTGGGGATATAGTAGTCGAGACTCCGAGATGGAATTACAATGTTTATGGATTTTATCGAATTAAAAAACAAACTCCTAAAATGGTTGTCTTAGAAAAATTGAATGAGGAGTGTAAACTAGATTATCCTCTAACCGGTTCGGCTAGATGGGAATATGAACATATAACCTTGACTAATGGAGTAACTGACACTTGCAGGATTAGAAAGACGACTTTGTTTTCAAATTATGAATTATATGATGAAAATAAAGTGTATAAAACTGTTAGTTATGATGATTAAGGGAAGTGGCTTAAGGAAATAACGCTATGGTATATATATAATATGACAGAAAAGGTAGAAGATAAAATCATTATTAATGGAAAATCATATAATATCCACTTAGTTTATAATAGGTATGCTGGAAGTGAAGATGGTGAGATTATTAATATAGTTAGGAGAAATCCTATGAAAGGTATAATTAGTAATAGAGGATATTTACGGGTAACTGTTAAGAAAAGTGGGGAAAGTGTGCAGAAAATATATCTTGCGCATCGTTTTATTTGGGAATGTTATAATGGTGTAATTGAAGATGATAGGGTGATAGATCATATAAATGCTGATAAACAGGATAATAGGCTGATTAATTTACAATTAATCGCGCAAAGAGATAATTGTCTGAAATCAGCACGAAATAGAGATTATTCATTCGTTAAGAATA